GGATAGATAGATAGATAGATAGATAGATAGATAGATAGATAGATAGATAGATAGATAGATAGATAGATAGATAGATAGATAGATAGATAGATAGATAGATAGATAGATAGATAGATAGATCTGTTTTCGTAGCTGTTCCTGTTAGAAGTTTATTAATTAAAGTGAAGAATGGAAATTGTCTAGCCACCCTAATAAACTCAAGTTCATTGTCCATGGCACTGAGCCATATTGTGCATGTGCATGTGTTTGTGCATGTGTTAAGTTGCTTGAAAGTAAAAGAGAATAAGAATGAAACGAAAGATAAAGACAAACCGAGTCTTTTCAACTGTTTGGCACAGTGAATCCAGTAAAGGTCAAAGGTCCCCATGTGATGACCTCAGCTGGCTGCAGGCCCTTAAGGGGTGGAGAATTGAAAAAAAAAAATCTGAATGAGATGCTGTGAACCTAAAACGAGCATCCGAAGGTGATGAAGGAAGCATATGGTCAAACAAAGCGTTTTCTAATGGAGTATTAAATATCCGCAGACATGCACTTTGGGCCATCCGTACCCAGCTACTAAAAGCCAATAATGCGCAGCACTTCCTCCAGTCTGGGCCCCCTGGGACCTCCGTGATGGATCTGATCAATTACAAGCTCTTTCTGGAGCTGCGTCATTCACCCAAAGACTGCGCGCTCCTCCATTCATGGCAAAGCTCTCAATCTCATGTTTGGGATTTAAAAAAAAAAAGATGCGTAAAAGTAAATAAAAAAAATAAAAAAAGTGGAATAAAGGAAAGAAAGAGGAAACGTGTGAGTTTGTTTGAGCAATATACAAGCCCGAGCCTTTTTCACACTTTTAACAGCAGATAGGTGGAAAACGAGTCAAAGTGGAAGCTGTCTCCTTATACCTGTCAGATTTGGGATATTTCCGGAACGTCTGCCGGGACAGGTCCTGGTGCGTCTGCGGCTCGGCGGAGATGCCCTGCGCCCTGCGGGTCCTCGGCCCAATAAGTTGCGCGCTCGGCAGAACCGACTGGCATTTGTGCAATTTCCTCTTCAGCTCGTGGATCTCGTCCTCCCGGTCCGCGAGCCGCCTCTCCAGGTCCCGTATCCTCTCCTCCTTGAGCAGCAGGATCTTGGCAAAGTCGTCCTCCAGCTCGCTCATTGCTGAACCCCAAAAAAATATTAAAAAAAAAAAAAAAGAGAGAGAGAAAAGAAAAGAAGATTAAACTTCTCCCCCGACAAAAACAAATCGTCACAAACCCGCCCTCGTAGATAGGATCCGCGCAGGATGATGATGCTCCCTTCACTGGCTGCTTGTTTATTTTAAAAAGAAGAAGGAGAGCCGAGGGGAGGCGTGCTGGGGTTAAACCCGGTGATGGAGCAGCTCCTTCCGTCCAGCAAGTCTCCAGGGAGCTGCTGCTGCGTCTTCATTGAGGAAACCAAAGGCAGGCCGTCCAACTTGGCTCAGAGGAGCAACTCCTGCAGTTCACGCGCCTCTCGGGCTGCACACACAGCGCGGGGGAAGCTGCGCGCCGCCGCTGTTTACCATCTGCGTGCGCAAAGCGTCTGGGCGACAAAAGCGCACGCATACCACCTCACTGACCCACCGCGTGACGGGACAGAGGACCCGGCTTCTCTCGTGGGGTGGGCGCACATCAGAGAGGCGAGGGTGCCCCCACCCACCCTGTCGTCCCTCCCCTCTACATGGCCAACCTGCGTGCAGATGTAATGGTTGTTTATTCCCCCAGACTGCACGAGCCGTATGGGCGCATGTGTCCATCCATGTTGGGATCTGCTTAAAGATAACTGTGCGTGTGCAGACGTTCAGTGAGAGGACACCCTCAAGAATAAGCTTAGAAATGTCAATTATAATCAAGTCTTTCTGAGTTTGGAACAAAATGTGAAAATCAGCTGCAGAAGATTCGAAGATTGTCCTTTAAATTCTGCTAGTTAGATATTTTGCTGACAGACAGGCCGATCAGTATACAATGGAGATGACTCTCAGCTACTACCAGACCAAGCTTGAACCCAT